ATTCGGTTCCTCAGGGCAGTCGCCTTCCGAAATATAATCTCAGGCTTGGCAGGTAATATTTGTGATAGGACTGGATCCGTTTTTAGGATTCCCGAATTTTTATTAATGATTTTGCTGATGGTTCTATATTGTGTAGAAAAGGTTGTAATGAACAGGCATACCCTACACACTTGAACAGTACCTTTGATGTTTTACATCCTTTGTCCAGGACAACTGGGTATCATTGTTGCCATTGCCAGAATTTGCCTGTAATAACGCCAGCCATTAAGCCACAGGACAATCCTCATTCTTTGCCAATTACAACTTTCATCCCTCCTTTCTGCCTGACATTATTTCTGAATCAACAGTTCCTGCTGTTCAGAGCAAGTTGGAATTTCTCAAGCATAACAATAAATTGTTACAAGAGGCAGTGGCTAAAGCACAGGCTGATAACAAAAAAGCATTTTACAGAAAAAGAAAGGGGGAACTGAGTCTACAGTTGGGCGACCGAGTATGGCACAGCAAACCTCAAGTTGGCATGCCCGTCAAGGAAACCCACACTGAAATTTGTAGGACCATTCTCAGTGAAGAGGAAACTTAATGAGGTATCGTATGAATTGTCTTTACCAAAATCATTTAAGATCCATCCAGTATTTCATATTTCACTTCTAAAGCCTGTGGTGCCAGATCCCTTTCCAGATAGGGGGTCTGGTCCAACTGAACCTGTGCTTGTGAATGGAGATAAAGAATATGAGGTGACAGCTATTGTGGATTGCAGGAGAAGAAGAAACCAGCTGCAGTACCTGATTAAGTGGAAAGGGTATGGTCCTGAAGAAAATTCCTAGCATCCCAAACAGAATGTCCACGCTAAAGGACTTATTTGTGCTTTTTTTCCATGACAACCCAGAGAAGGGAAGTCAGCTGGGCATCCAGAGGCTGCTCGTAGGGAGGGGGCAATGTAAAGAAGGTACTTGCCATAGTGCAGCTGAAGCCTCTGGATATACACGGCTGTGCAGGAGCAGATGTGCGGGTGCCCATTCTGCTGTGCATAGTCATAGTCGAGCATGCGCGTGTGTGCACCCATGACTGCCCAACACTAATGTTGGCGCCAATGAGACTATTTAAATTCAGCAGTACTGTTATCCTCTGCTGTCTGATCTGCAGATCCTCCTGTATTACTGTACCTGTTCCTGTGTGTGATACCTGTGATTGACCTTGGCTTGCTTCTTGAACTCCGCCTCTGCCTTCTGTATCTACTTGATCCACCTCCACCACTGCTGACCCTGGCCTGTGACCAGACTACTCTTCTGCCTGCCATTTATGCCTGATCCGCTCATCTGTTACTGACCCGGCCTGTCTGACCCTTCATTTAGCTTTGCCAGCCTGTCCTGCTGTGACGTCTGCCTGCAGCCAGCCTGCTCTGCTACCTGTCTGCCCTGTTGTGATGTCTGCTTGATGCCAGTCAGTTCTGCAGTGCCATCTGCTGCCAGGCCACTCTGTGACGTCTGCCTGCTGCCAGTCAGTCCTGCTGTGCCATACGCTGCCAGTCCATTCTGCTGTGACATCTTGCCTTGCTACCACCCTGTCCACCTGTGGTGTCTGCCTGCTACAAGCCTGCTCTGCCACCAGCCTGTCCAGCTGCAACATCTGCCTATTGCCAGCCCACCTGCTACCAGCCTGCTCTGCATCCTGCTGCCAGCCTGCACTGCTACATCAGTCTGCAGCCAGCTGTTCCATCTGCCAGTAAAGTGCCAGCTATTATTACACAGACTACAGCACTGACCAGGCACTCATACTCCGCAATGCTCTTGTGGTTGCTGGTCCACCTTCAGTGGCCCTTGAGCTGGAGCTGTACAAGAGTCCTTCCTCTGCCGTCAGGCTCACAAGCGAGGGAAGTGACACACACTATACTGCTGGGATGGTGACACTGGAACAGATGTGGCCGCACTGATATGGATGACCAGGGCACTGATGAGGCTGCACTGATGGATACTGATAAGTGGCAATGGACACAGCGATCACGTGGTAAAGGGCTGCTGTGATTGGCCCTTTACCCTGATCTGTAATGCGCTGTGTCCAAGGCACGCAGCAATCACAGAGACTTCTCCAGGCACCCCAGGGGTGCACAAGAGGCATGCACATGGGAGGACGTGCAGGGGTGCCCTACCAGAACTGGAGAGGCGTGCTGTAGCCGTATATTGGCTATTGTGATTGTGGAAAGTGGTTAAAACCACTAAGGTGTAATAGTGATACACATCAAAGGTGTGGAAGGGTGTGCTTGGGCACTATAAGCAGGTGCAAATATGTGCATTGGTTGGAGGTACAATGGTGATAGGTGAAAAAGTGTGGTACACATGTCCTAAGAATCACATTATAGAGAAAAAAAAAAAGAAAAGGACAGAGGATGTGAATTTCAGCAGTAAAGAGTGCAGAAAAGGCAGGAAGAAAACAGATAACCCAAAATGGCAGCTACAATGGAAACATATGCAGTATTGTCTTCATGTCGGGAGATTCAAGGGTTAGAATGACTATGCTACCATCCATGTATGGTAACGTTCTACAGATAGGCAAACACAGCATCAACATTGACTTAATACTATGTATGCAACAGTTTGTCAGCTATATTTTTCATTATCTGTAAATGTTAACACACACATACTGTAGCATAGTCATTTTCACAGAGACCACAAGAATCATGGAAAACAATACTGCATGTGTGAGGAGCAGGTGTCATTTTGGAATAACCCCAAGACACTACTGAAATTGTGCAGTAGTGTTTCCATTTCAACTAAAATATGACACAGGAACACAATTTTCCTGTCACAGAGGTGTACTGCCAGTATGCAGTTTTGGGAGTGTTACACAAAATACTGCACATGCATATTGTCAGTCTTTGAAGCCTGAAATCAGAACTATAAGCAGCATGCCCACACCAACATTACTACAGAAACCTGCTGCCAGTATGTTGAAGACTGGGTTGAAAATGTATTCTTTATATGACAAAGTAAAAATGAATTTAAAATTCTGACATGATTTTGCTGTACCCACCTAATCTATTAGTATTTTGATCATTACATCACTCTATTAACCTAAAGGATAAAACTAAACCACATTTTACTTAATATAGTCTTCTTTTACAATACATATATGATACTTCAATTGTTGGTCTGTACTGTATATTCTACTGCACAAAGTTATGTGCGTTCCTGTTTGTATTTATTTCACTAACGTATCATTTGATTAATCATTTGCTTTGTTCATAACAACTACAAAGATTGCACATATCCTGAAGTCTAAGTTCCTTTTTGCTGTATACACATTTTGTTACAACAGTCAAAGCGTGCCTTTGCTAACAATGTTAAAGCCTAAAAAACCAGAGTTAGCACTGAGGAACTGTGAGTTCATTTGTCTTTTTGTGGCCAACATGGAACCAAATAAAGCTTATATTGTGTCCAATACATTCATAGAACTCCTATTATTCTTTCCCAGAATGCAAAGTTTTCTGTGATTGGAGGAGAACATTTCATATTCTAGTCCTAAGAATGTAGACGACAGGTGGAAAAAGCCAGGAACTGATGTTGGGTGGGGGGTGCAATGACAGCAGAATGACTAGACAAGCTACACACACTGTGTATTTATTTAGTATTTATTTCAGATAAGATAAGTCTATAGCGCTGTCAATTTATGCAGTGCTTTACATACATATCTTGTACATTCACATCAGCCCTAACCCTCAAGGAGTGTATAATCTAAAGTCCCTAACTCACATTCATACATACACATACTAGGGTCAATTTAGACAGGAGCCAATTAACCTACCAGCATGTCTTGGAGGTGGGAGGAAACTGGAGTACCTGGAGGAAACATGCAGTCCCAGGGAGAACATGCAAACTCCAGGCAGGTGGTGCCGTGGTTGGGAAGTGCTAACCATTTAGCCACTGTGCTGCTGTTTTTGGGAATGTGTAGCATGTCCGGTGTCCTCAACTGGTTGAATCGAGATTTTATTTTACCTGCCATTCAACTTATTAGAGAGGATGCATAACTATGTCAGAATGGTTGCATTATTCATATTAGCAGAAGCTCAAAATCTTCAACAGCCATGCATAAATTAAGAATCTGTCACAGAAGCTAACAGTTAAAATTATAAATAAGACTTAATTAATATTTTTCTCCATAGGTTTGCAACCCATCTAAATTTGCACAGATACAATTCAACATGTAATATACTCTGAAAGTCTTAAAGAGGTATTAAACCCCACACAAAATTTTATTTATTGTAGCTTACACATTTTTTATATGTGGTGAATGAATTAGGGTTTTTTTCCCCCGGCTTTTCTTCTCTTGTGCTGTTCTGCAAAGCTGCATAAAAAAAAAAAGAGGCACGAGGCTGAATACGGTTTACGTTTCATGGTGAGAACTCCTGCGTGGGAAACCTTTTTTTGTGAACTTTTGCTTTGTTTTAAATAGGAGTGGGCATAGGTGAGCACAGACAAACACATGTAAAATGGATCAGGAACAGCACTGCAGTAGGAAGGAGCCTGACCGTGGCTTGGAACCGGAGCTCGATGCTCTCGGCTCCCAAGCACCTACAGTGTCCTGCCGAGAAGGAGAGAGACGTGTGGGAAGCCCTGGAGAGACTAGTCGGGGAGGGAGGGGGGGGCTTGCCTGGCAGGGTGCGTGGACCGAGGACCTCCGGGAGTGGCGGCCATCGCGGCGGGTCTTCCTGTGCTCTCGTCCCGGCGCTGTGTGTTACCGGAGCTCAGTGGATGCCGGGCAACCAGGGGATCTGCCGCAAGGGAGCTCTGGAAGGCAGAGGAGCCGGCCGGCGTTTCTTGGAGCAAGAGAGACGCCGGCTCTAGTTCCTCCTGCACACAGGACCGTGGCAGCTGGAGACACGCGGAAACGGGCTGGGTGAACCCCCCCTGCAATCCACTCATTGTGAGGGGAATGTCGAGTGCAATGTTCCCCAGAAGACAGTACCTGGAGCCGCCTCACCCCTCACTTGGAGTAAAGGAAGAGGTGTCCTAAAGTGCGGGAAAGTCTCTCAGGGAAGTTCAATCTCTATAGAAACCAGATATCTCACATGGGGGAGAAGTAATCCTGTTTTGAGTGTGGGAAATGTTTTTCATGTAAGTCGTATTTTTATATATACCAGTGATAACACAAGAGGGAGCAGCCATACCCTTGTTCAGAGTGCGGGAAATGTTTTTCACAGAAGTCCAGCCTGCATATATATCAGAGACCTCACATGAGGAAGATGCTATATCCCTGTTCTAAGTGCGGGAAATGTTTTCTCAGACAAGTCTAGACTTTACATATATCAGAGATCTTACACAGGTGAAAAGCCATATGTCTGTCCTGAGGGAGGGAAATACTTTTCAGTGTGGTAAATGTTTTTCAGAGAAACCCTTTTCTTCATATATGACAGAGGTCTCATACGGGGGAAAAGCCATGGGGGACAAGAGGGTGAGTGAGAGCGGCAAAAGTACCGAGATTAATATATTGCATGGGAACTGAACTGTATGTATTGAACTATATGTTTAAACTGAGGAGGGGTTCACCCAGGGGGTCTTAGAGGAAATCAGAAGGAGGACAATGTAAAACAAATAAAGACCTAGAAGAAGAGGACCCGGGTAGATGAGTTTGGGAGTGGGAGGAGAGAAAAAGGAAGAAAAGTACTGAGAGGGGTATACCCATGGAAAACAACAAATTTTGATATCAAATCAAAAATAGACCTCCCCCCCAAAACCAGAACTGCAGAAAATTGAAATAGTCCCTGACAGCGTGAAAAACAAAGGGGGGAGGGCCTAAGGCTTCCCAAACAGGGTCAATTAAAAAATATATACCCTCACAGGAGAAACAGACTCCAGAGAGACAACAGGGAATAAGTGTAAGAGGCGAGAGGGAAAAAAGCAGGGAATGTTCCAGACTATCCCTGGGAATAGCTAACAGTAGTCAACTGTCAGGAATGGACTCGCCAATAGTGGTGGGACTCACCTGCCTTGTGGGTTGCAGTACCAGGAATGGCCAGCGGGTGCTCTCAGCAACCAGAGGCTCACTCCTGCAGTCAGCCAAAACACCTGAGGCTGATTGCAGAAGGTGCATATAAGGAATGGCCAGGCCTGTGATCAGGGCCTTGGTGTATGTTTTCCCAAGAGCCCCTGTACCTGCATCCTGTCGGCTTCCTGTCTGATCCTGCTTGATCCCTGACTCTGATTGAACTCCGCCTGTCCTGACGTCTGCTATTCCTGACCACTCTCCAGTCTGCTCCTTTGGTACCTTGTCTGCCTGATTGTTCCTGACCCGGCCCGTCCGACTACGCTTAGTATTGTTCTTTTGTTATCTGTTGGGGGGTTTTGGTTTGGTTTGTTTGCACTGTGTTTATGTTTAGTCTTGCACTGCGTTTATGTATTGTTTAGTCTTAAATAAATTATATTGTTTATACTATATCTGAAGCCTGCGTTTCCCTGTGTCAGTCCACACACCTCTGGTCATACCCGGAGCCCTGACAGTCAACATATGGAAGAAGAAGTGGATATGGATAAAGTAGAAGAACAAGAGGAGAGCTCACAGATGCCTACTAAAGCAGAAATAGCAGAAATGTTTAAAGGACTGGAAAGATCCCTAAAACAGGAAACGGCGAAACGGCGAAAGACCTGGGGAAAATATTATCAAGGGTAGAGGAGACGAAAGAAAAACTAGATAAACATGCCCAAATTATACAGAAATTAGAAAAAACAGGCAATGGAAATGAGAAAAGAAGAAAGAAATATGTTATAAAAATTGGAAGACCAGGAGAATAGGGATAGGAGATGCAATCTAAGGATACGAGGCTTTCCAGAGATCTCCCAAGGAGAAGATTTGACGGGAATAATAACGAGAATGCTGAATACTATAATGGATAGTCTCAAAATGGAGGGAGTATATAGAAAAGGAAAATACATACAAGAAGATAGAAAGAAAAAGCCATGCGATGTAATAGTGCAATTCCATAATTTTTGGGATAAAGAAGAGCTTTGGGAGACGATAAAAGGAAGAGCAATAATATAATATGGAGAAATAAATATACAGATCTTTGCTGATTTAGCAGCGGAAACATTAATAAGAAGGAGAACTCTGAAACGGTTACTCGAACAGATGATAAAACAGAATGTTCGATATAGCTGGGGGCTTCCAGCGTGTTTGATCGGATGGAGAAATGGACGTTCAGCAAGAATGAGATTCCCCAAAGATCTGAGAGACTTTTGTGAGAGACTTGTATACAGAAAATAAATATCCCTGGTTGGGAGGAAGAAGGAGGAGAAATGTGGGCTATGGAAAATGAGGGGAGGCAGGTAGCTCTAAGGAGAAATAGAGAATAGGAATAAGAAAGAGGAATAAGATGGGAAGGGGGGGGGGGGGAGGTTCTCTCCTTTTTTTCTCTCTATCTCTCCATTTCTGCCTCTCTCTTATGATCTTTGAAGTTTACTAGAGTATGGCAGGATATGGAGGATGAGACACGCTTATTGGGGAAAAGTTAATGGTAAAAGCTGAATCAAAGGTGGGGTTAGGACCACAAATGATTCATAGGCAAAATGTAAGCTTAAAGGGAGATGGTGGGGGGGGGGGGGGGGGGGGGGGGAGGAGAGGAGAGGAGTGGGAGGGAGGGAAAAGGGGTGGAGGAGGGATGGGAGGGTGGGAGGAGGGTATAGGTAGTTTAAGACTGCAAAAATAGTGGGAGAAACATCAGTCTGGATAAATCCTAGAGATCAAAGGGGAAGATGTGGAGGAAAGAGAAAGAAAGAAGAGATGGGGAAGATAGAGGTGTGGGAGAGGAGAAGAATTATTATTATTATTATTACTACGAGTTTATATAGCGCCAAAGGGTTTGCTCAGCGCTGTACAATAGGGGGGACAATACATGGCACAGTACAACAACAACAAACAACGTACGAGGGGTAAGAGGGCCCTACTCTTACGAGCTTACAATCTAGGAATGAAAGATATTCACTTGGTGACTTATAATGTTAAAGGGTTAAATAGCCCTGGGAAGAGATTTGGGATTTTTAAAGAAATTCAACATAGATTTCCTTCAGTGTTTTTTTTTACAGGAGACACATTTGATGCAAGAGTCAAATGTGATATTAAATTCCAGATATTATCCAATGTGGTTTTATGCAGATTCCCCAATTAAACATGCCAAGGGAGTGGTAATAGGTTTTGCAAAAAATATAAGGTTTAAGCTGGAAGACAGATTGGTAGATTCGGAAGGGAGATTTCTGTTTCTGAAGGGAAAATTAAAGGAAATAGACTGTACATTAGTAAATATGTATTGCCTGAATAAGAAACCGGAGGAATTCCCAAAAAATACTCCGAGGAAGTTAATGGATTTCAAAAAAAGGCAATTTAATTGTGGTAGTGATTTCAATCTCTGCGTGGATCCCCAGATGGATATGACGTCCTCTGTGCAGAGAGATGGTAGTAGGTCTCTGAAATCCTTGAAAAAATGATATACCAATGTCAACTTGTAGATATATAGAGAATTAAGCACATGAAGGACAGAGACTATACATTTTATTCTCATGCACATGAGATGTATTCCAAGACTGGATTATATATTGCTGGACCATCGACTTATCGAGTCTATAGTCAAAGTAAAAATAGAAGTGATGTAAATATCGGACCATGCCCCTGTCACAATGCAATTATTATGGGGAAACGAGCACATCGGGGGGAAATTATGGAGGTTAAATGAGACACTTCTCCAGGACTCAAAGGTGGATCAAAGAATTAAAAAAGAAATAAAGCAATTTTTTGAGGAAAATGATTCTGGGGAAGTGTCCATAGCAACAGTGTGGGAGGCTCATAAGGCCTATATTAGAGGAATCCTGATAGCGATTGGAGCAAAAAAGAAGAGGGAAAGAAGAGAAAAAATAAACATGCTTCTTCATGAAATCTGTGCGTTAGAGCAGATACATAAACATAAAGTAACAAAAGAGATTATGCAGAGGGTAATAAATAAAAGTGAAGATTTAAATAAATTTCTGGAAGAAGATAAGAGTGTTCAATAAAATAAGTGAGAGATACAGATGGGGAGATAGGCCAGTAAAGTATTTAATGAGGGCTCAGAGAATAAAAAAAATCTAGGAACTATATAGAGAAAATAAGAGACCACAAAGGAGAACTGATGTATTAAACTAAAGATATAGCTAAAGTGTTTAAAGAATATTGTAATAAGCTATATAATATTATCCCCCACAGCTCCATAAGTAAAGATGAATTAGGAAAAAGAGAAAAAAGACAGACATACTTAAAAAAGGCAGGATTACCAAAATTAAGTGAGGAGCAATTAAAATCCCTAGAATCAGCAATAACGCAGGAGGAAATACACTAGGGTGTGGAAGGGATGAAACGATAAATGTTTTGATATGTTAAGGTTTTAATGAGTATGTTTGTATAACTTGTTTATCTGGAAAATTAATAAATATTTAAATTAACAAAAATAAATAAATAAAAGTGGGCATAAAAAAAGCCATAAAAAATACCTCTGGAGTGGAGTGAACTCGTGGTTTTGGCGCCACCAATGAGCTATTAAACCCCAAAATCACCACAATGTAAAGAAAAGAATTGCCAGCAAAGAAAATGTCAGAAAAAGACCCTTAATTTAAACCAGGCCCTTTTGGTCTGGTATAGATTTTAAGAGGAACCCCACAAAAAAAAAAAGTTTGGGCTCCCCCCAAAAACCATAGCAGACATTTAGGAATGTATTTTGAGAGGAACCCCACGCTATATTTTTTTTAATGGTGTTAGGGCCCCCCCAAAAAATCCATAACAGACCCTTATCAGAGCATGCAGCCTGGCAAGCCAGGAAAGGAAGGGGGTGGGGCAGCGAGCAGGTGCCCCACCCCCTAACCATACCAGGCCACATGTCCGTAAAATGGAGGGGAGGTTGGTGGGGACAAGGGCCTCTTCCCCACAATTCTGTAGTTGTGGGGGGCTTATCAGAATCTGGAAGCCCCCTCCAACACAAATAATTAAAACAGTTTTTCACCAGTCCTTTAAAAAAAATAAAACCTCAAAAACAGTGGTCCAATGTCCCCCAAAGTAAATCCAGCGACAATCAAGAGGGACGCCGAAGCTGTCATCCTGGGTGGGGAACCTGACGCTGCCTCCAACCACTAAATAAACAAAGGGGTGGGCCATCCGGTGACCCCCCCGATCCATTGTGACATCAACAGAGGCACGATGGGTCAATGACATCTCTTTTGTTAAC